TGTGTGTGTGTGTGTGTGTGTGTGTGTGTGTGTGTGTGTGTGTGCATGTGATTTCTGTGCCCATTGTGCCCATTGTGAAAAGAGCTCCCTCCCCAGGAACACTGCAGTCGTGGCAGAAAACCAAAAAGGCAGGAAAATGGGGCAGAGATTAAAGATTCAATGCGCGTCCATGAGCGCGTTTGTGAACAAAGTGTGTCTTTGCACCAAAGTGCATGTTTTTCATGGAAGTGTGTTTGCAAGTGTGTGGGCGTTTGCCTCCGAGAAGCAAAGATAGAAGATGAAGAGAGGGGCTTTCAGCGGGAGTGAGGAAGGGGAGAGGTGCAGCGGGAGAGTGCATCAAGAGATCGGTTTGAGAGACAGAGCGAGCTAAAGTGAAAGATAGAGAGAAGGAGACAGAGAGAGCGAGAAAGAGAGAGAGAGAGAGACCATCAGCCTTCCATGAGCACTGCAAAGCTTGAAGCTGTTACTGTTCCCAGGCCCTTTGAGGCCTTAGATAGAGTGGACAAGGCCAAAGTGTGAGTGTCATCCTGTTAAAATGAAAATCTCAAACATGCCGCTGGACCATGTTCAGTTGGAAGTCCAGTTGTGCTATTAATGCCCAAACACGACAACAACACCATCAGAGTCCCAACAACGCAGTCTCTTTCAGCACAGTGACATTTATAGAGAACAAAGAACACAGAGAAAAGTTAAATGTTCACTCTGACTGTGAAGTTTGGTCCTGCTCCCTGAAGGGGAGACTGTTACGGTCTGGGGGTTAAGGGGTGTGGGAGGGTAAATGGCTGTTTTTCTGCTCCACTGCCCATTTTTAAGAGTCCTCTGTGTCATGTGGAGCTGGCGGGAGATGTCCCAAGGCCTGTGTGTCCGGACAGAGCTGCTCTGTCCCTGGTCATTGACAGAGAAACAATAGGCCAGCTGCGAGCCTGCCCACTCTGCTCTGTCTCAGGCTTTGTCGGCCTCTCTGTGTGGCTCTCGCTCCCTCTTCTGGTGGGGCGACTCCAGCCCGAGTGTGCACCGTCTGAACTAAATGCATCCTCTTCAAAAGTAGGCTACAACAATGTATAGGCGTGATTTTGAAAAGGAGGTTAACAGGGATATATGGGAGTGTATGAGTGATGATGTAATGGAAAGAGGAGCCCAGTTTTATCCAGGACAGTGTGATGTAGGCTGATCGATATTTGTCTCTATACTGTGAGCAGCTGTCAGATATCTGAGGTGGGAAATATGTCAGTCGGTCAGTGTGTCGCTGTTTTTTTCCTCTTCTCCTGTCATCCTTCCTCACTCCCTCTGTCACTCTTCTTCACCACCAGGCTCTCAGTGACTTCTGCACAGACCCAAACGCATTTGTCCTCAACTCCACCAACTTTAACACTGGGACCAGCACAGGTACAGACTCCCCCCCTTCCCCGTGCCAGAGCAGCAGCACTTTCTGGAAGAGCGAGCTGCCGTGCACTGAATTGTGCATTTGTCAGCAGAACTCAATATAATGACAGTTAAATGTTTCTATTGTGCGCTGACGTGTTGTGCACTGGTGTTTTGTTTGGCCATTCAGATGTGTTGGATTATTACCTGACGTGCGGCAGGCGCATGAACAGTCCATTCCAGCAGGTAACGTCCCCTCACTCACTCACCATGTTTACACTGAAACCAATGATCGGACTATTGATCGTGTTCTGGCATTACTCTGATTATGTCGTTCACATGAGCTGCTGATTAGATTTTCCTGTTTTCCTTTTATAGAGAAGAGTCTGATTGTAACTCACGTCAACATTGTTTCCTACCACATGTTCACACTTGAACCCAGGACATGCGTCATCAAGCATGTTGGTTTGTCAGAAAATGCAGTGAAAACTCCTATAGGAAGTATTAATGTGATTAAGATATAATGCAACTATAAAGGCCAAGCCATATTTATTTATGTAGCTGTGTCCTGTCCTCAAATGAAGTTAAATAGCGACACTCTCTGCATATTAATTGTATATCTCAGGAAAATAAATAATAAAAGAGTAATATTCCACTGATTGTCGTCTTCAGGTGCTGACCCAGTCTCAGAGGGCGCTGTCCAACATTCACACACACCTCTCCAATCTGGACAGAAATTCTCTCACACAGTTCCCCAAAGCTGAGGTACGTTCAGACTCGTACACGCAATTTCTGCAACATGAGAACCTCAAGAATTTTCTCACATCTTAAATTATTTTTGTGTGGTAACAGAAATCACTCAGGGAGGTTCAACAGATACTCAACTCCACAGAGGGCAACTTTCATCAACTGGTGGCTCTACTGAACTGCAGGGGTCTGAATAAGGTAAATCCATTTTACTTAGCAAAAATAATAAATGACCACTGCTTCTTTTGTTCATCATTCATTGCTTTGTTTTTCTGCTCTTCTCTTTTAGGATTACATAGATTCACTGAAAGGCCTGTGCTATGATGGCATGGAGGGATTGCTCTACCTCTCCCTGTACTCTTTCCTCTCTGCTCTGGCCTTCACTGCTATCCTTTGCTCTCTGCCCGGTGCCTGGAGGAGCTTCCCCAGGTGAGAGAGGGACTGTCAATGTGTGTCTTATGCGGATATTATATGTAATATATATCATATGTACTGCAATGTATAAATAAAGATAAGTAGGGAATTTCTATTTCCACACTCTGACACTCATTGACACACCATGAATTGCCTACCATCAATATTATAAGTAGTGAAAGGTGCCATTACCTGAATGTATTTGAAAAAATAAATCCATCTTGTCCCAGAGTGTTAAAAGGATATACTGTACACAGCGTTTACACTTTATACATTATTTATATTGTATTTATATTTTGTGTGTATGCCTATTTTTAACCTCTTTGGCGCAGATTTCCTCATTGGCAGAATAATAAAAAAAATTATTACACTCCTCTGCTCCTCTATTCGTGAATACTGGAGTTTCTGCATGTCAGATCATGCTGTTTGGCATAAAATGCAGAAAAATACATATTTAATATTGTCCATTGTCAAATTTATCCTTGAAAAATATCAAATAAAACTTGTGTGTGGGATTGCCGTCTAGCTTTGCCAAAACAGTAGTAGTATTATGATGAATTACATAAAACTGACCCATAACAGATGAATGTGTGATTCTCCTTAATCCTTTTTCAGACACATTTGTTTTGGACAGTTTAGCATCAGGGCTTTGTAGCAGTAGCACAGGTCTGTTGTATCTGCAGAGTGTGGATATGGAGCAGCTTGTTCAAGACTTGCTGAAATCCACCAGTGCCCAAGTGTCGTCAGCTCAGAGTGAGAACAGGTTTTTTGTGATTGGTGCTGCCGGTGCAGTTTGTGTAGATCAGCAGTTTGATGTTTTCTGTGGTGGAAAATCCATTTGAAGTCCTCATCTGATGCACGTTTTCTTTGAATGTGAGTGTTTAACCATTAGTGTCTGACGAATCAAGATTAGTGACCAAGAGAATGAATAAAGCAGAATTGTAGGATGCATTTAAATTTAAGAAAATAAGTCGCATGTATCTATAATAATGAATACAGCTTGGACACATCATTCCTCTGCTCTCTCTCACATCCCTTTCTCTCTCTTTCCTGGACAATGACAGTGAATCAGAGGAGTACGAAGACTCGGACAGCGAGAGTGAGGACCCCTTCACCTCCCATCAGGCACGTAGACAGACGGCCTCGGGGTCTCAGCGAGGGGCCATGGCCCCCTTCTATAATTACCCGGGGGCCGGGTGGACACCCCCGTTTTCTAGTGCGCCGCCCCTCCCGTGAGTAACACAGACCCACAGACACACAGACAGACAGACAGACAGACAGAACGTCCCAGATGTTACAAGAGGAGGAAGGAAGTTGCCCTTAGATGCAGGTTGTGTTTTTCATTTTGAGATCTGCACCTGTGGGCAACTTTTGAACTGATGCCCCCCCAGGATCAGGGATTGTGAAAAGTCCAGGGTGTAACATAACAACACAGAGAACATGTGAACAACACATAGAGACTGACGGAGAACTTTTGAGATACTTTTGTGCAGACACAGTCTTTTTCATCTTGAAATCTCTCAAAGTTTCCTCTCAAAACATTTCTACATTTCTACTGATGACAGACAGAATGCACACTCATCTTTATATGGACATAGTAGCAGTGCAGCATAGTCAGCTAGGTTTATATGCTTTTGTCTATATAGGATATATTTATATATCTGATCCATGTAGGATTAGTCCAAATCCACAGAGCTGTCAGGTTCAGCACATGCATTGCAGACAGACACACAGACAGGTCAATATGGACTACAGTGTAGGCAGAGAAACAGACACAACTCCAGAGGTCTGTCTGTCTGTCTGTGTGTCTGTCTCTTCGTCTGTCGAGTGTTTCAGGACAGACGATGTAGGCCGCTCGGTCATTTCACGGACTCGTCTCAAATGGCGCCCTGTCTCCGAAAAGGCAGTAGACTACTGCTTGTGTCGTAAAAACTCCGGCGCTGTGAGGCTCAGGTTGACTATAGGTAACCCCCACCCCAACCCAGCCCCTCCACGGCCTCCTGCATCGCTCTCATCCGTCTCCTCACTGTGGTGTCCAACATCTCTCAGGTTATTTCTCTGCATCTGTCCTGCTGCCTCTCTCTTCCTCGCTCCTCCTTGGTTCTCCCACATCCTCACTCTCAGTTTTCTCATCTTTTTACGTTCTATCCCTTTCTCTCTCTCTTGTTGAAGCTTCCCAGTTAGGTTAGTGCTACCTAATCGTGGACTAGTTAACTTCCTCTTCTAATGCCGGCTGATCATCCTGAATCTCCCACATCCAGTATTAACACACACAAAAACACTGAATCAGAAACTCTGCAGAACAGGAACAATACAGTCCACTCCTCCGAAATGGAATCTGCTCAGGATTGCTCTAAAAGCTTTCTGGGGTTTATTGTGCAGATAAACAGTTTCATTAGGAAAACCACGTTAAAGCAGAAATGGGACTGGTGGGTCACACCCAGCTCTAAATGCATGTAATTGCAGATTATTGTATAAATCCTGCAGTGCATCATGAGTCGGGAGTGGACTGTACGCCTGCTGCTGCTTGAGCAACAGTGGTGCTAATACTAGTTTAACTGAGTGCTGTGTATTTCCGCACTATATTTCTAACCACTTTCTCCTTGTTTCCTGTTGCCTATCCTTGGCTCCCGTCACCCCGCGGCCCCCGCTCCCCTCTGTCTTTCTCGATGTGTCTCACCCCTGCTCCCTCTCCCCCTCATCCTCCATTTCCTCCTCTCCCCCTCTCTTCTGTCGTTGTCTCTTTCTATCTCTATACAGGACTCCAAACGTTTCCTCCAATGGCAACCCTGGCTATGAGAGCCTACCCTTGACTGACAGGCAGTCCCCACCCCCCTCTGTGAGTTCCTCTGTACCTTTGGCACCACTTTATCGCTGCTGTTAGTGCAAATCGCTCGCTTCAGTTATCAGTAGCAGACGGACTAACGTGGTGGTGAGGTTTCGACCTCGCAGGACCCTGTGGGCTGGCCTTTTGTTCGTTTTTATCACAACGCTTCAAAATGTCAAATATCAAGTTACATGTTTTCTCTGTCTCCAATTAACTGTTGATACTAACATGATTTTGACTTTTATCATCACTATCTGGCCATTTGAAAGAATGAAGTGACCAAAACTGTTTTAAGGAATAAAACAATAATGGTTAATAAAAGTTTTGATCTTAAAAAAGGGGAAAAAAAAGACGGTGTCCCCTTACTGGCTTTTTTCTCAGTTGCATCTCATGGTCCTCCACATTACTGAGTTACGACCAGTTCTCATTTACATGATGACATGTTATTACATTAGCTCATTTTCTGTTAAATGATGTAGCTACTGGTCCTGTGATACACTGGTGATATGTCCAGGATGTGACCTGGGATTGGTTTAGATGGATGGATTAGCTACATCCATGACAACTGAGCAAACTAAATTTGCTGAAGAAGACCATGAGATGTGGCTGCATGCCGGGGAAAAAAGCTATTGAGTGGACTAAACTGTAATCAGTGACATTTTGAGGATGGAATGAAGGAGAGCACTAAGTACCTTTACTTTTCCTTCTCCCTTAAGTTTTAATTGAGATTTAACATCAATATAATGTTCTAATTACATGTTGGTCAGATAGTGAGATAAACATGTTCTGTGTTCTTTCTGTATGAGTTGATTTTGCCTGAATAACTTATATTCTTCTCTTCTTTTTTTTATTATTTGTTTCAATTCACCTTCGGACCGTCTCCCGTCGTGTTTTCTGGAAGTACAGTACTCTCCCAGCATGCTGACTGGTTACGGGGGAGGTCAATCACACCCAAACCCCGCCCATTCGAGGAACCTGTATTCACGTTGATTATTATTACTATTATTTTTTGTTAGGAAATGTATAGAAAAAATATGTTTAGTTTTCATATGAATGGACACTTTACTGAAATGAAAAAGAAACTAATCTAAATAAAATGAATGCTAGGTGTGAATTCAAAGTGCGTAATGTCAGTACCACTGAATATTATTATTATTATTATTATTATCATTGTTAAAAGCACTTAAAAGAAACGGGTCTAACGGGACGATTGATTGAACCGACAGCGGTGATGCTGGTGTAGGGATGGCTGTGCAAAGAACCAAGTCGTCTTGGTCTAAATTCTTTCCCCTTGTCTGTTCAAACTCTGTGTAAACTGTGAACAGTGGTGAGGCAAGTCAGAAAGGTAATGACGTTACAACGTTGTAGTTTTATATTCTTAAATGTATCAGTACCACCGCTATTATTTTCAAGTTTTTATATAAATATTGTTGTAGAAAAAAAAAGCACTGGCACGTAGCATCAAGACACATTTTTTTCTGTGAATGGTTATGCAGTTCCCTCACTTGGTTCTAATATTTTTTTTATTACTTTTTATAGGTGGCAATTCTGTATTTTCCTTGTATTACCTTATGGTATTCTGTATATCTCACTGTCTATAATATCTGAATAATCATGAACCTTAGCTCTTAAAAAAATACTTGAGGGCTATCAGGACCCCGTTTTACGATTGAGTGGACAACTGCCACTCAAGTCCACAGAGTGGAGAACTACAAATCCCATGCAATGACACAAGGTACATAGCAATATGATTCTTGCTACTGGTGCTGCAGTAGCCCTACCGTAACTAGCAATAATAACTATGTTTAGCATTGGGCTTCTGAGATATCTCCAAGATGTTTTGTGTATATATGGTATGGTACGTTGGAGATTTCATTGAATCCCCCTTCTTCGCCAACTGACCTTGTTAACCCTTGAATTGAGTTTGTATGGTTATCAATGCTCCTTTTGAATGGCATCCTTTTACACTCAAGAGTCTAATATAAATAAAAAATAACTTCAATAACCCGACACTGGTCTCCATCGTGTCTACAAGAAACACACACAGCATGAGTTGTATAACTGATTCATACTGAAAACAGGAGGTCAAAGTTTAATATAAATAAGCTTCAATATAATGAACCTCTGAGCTTCTGAGGTGTGAGTTAGTCACTAGTGTGAACTGGAGACAGGGCTCCTTTGCTTTTGGATATGCATAGATCAACAAGAGAGACAAGGGACAAACATAATGGTTACATACAGTCACAGCACCAGTGCTTTTACATGTTTAACTCAACAACTTACAGCCAATCAGGAATGGTGGATTTAGGATTTTAAAAAGTGATTTTACTAACAACCATGCAACCACTGGTTAAAGGCATGTGGTTGAAAAACCTGAAACCTTGGTCCAATATAGGGCTGGGCCATAAAACTATATAAATAATTATTGGAATATGATTTACATCAATAGCAATATAACACAAGTGAAATATCCAGTCATCCATTATCTCAATGAGAAGGTATAACACATAATTCTTAGACCTCGGGTGTGTAAAATGTTTTGTGGTTTATTAAGTATTTTTTCATTCTCTGCTCATAAAGAGTTTAAAAACACAACCTTTACTCAGCAACAAAAATCTGTCTTTTAACTTTAAACTAAGAAAATAATAATGGGACATTTATCAAATTGACTGATATGAAGACTTCTATGTTGATATAATTATTGGCCACATTGCCCAGCCCTGAGTTTACCCTTCACAAACAACGTCATGTCTACTTACATGTTTGTCAAAGCTTCATTACTGTGTGGACTCTTGAGATGTTGACACACTACAGCAACAAAGCTTTCACCAAAATGTAAGAAATATAATAAATTACTATAAGGGAAATCGAAGGGTGCCTAGAAGATCAGAAAAAAAATCTATTAAACTGATGGGGTTTAATAGATTTTTTTCTGTTATGAACAAAGTCTGAAAATGTGACTGATTTGTGTTAAATTGTTGAGAACATGCTAAGACACTGGTGTGGTCCTTCAACGTCTCAGCAGTTGACCCCACAGAACATGTGCCTGTATGAACACACACACAAAGACAAATGGCGCTAACAAATCTAACTCTGTAGTGCATAGAAAGTTTACAACGAAGGTCGTGGGAAGAGATGGTGCACCCAGGGGCTAAGAGATAACATAAGTTTTCACTTTACAGTCTTGTACATACTTTTCTAATTTTGGCATCTGGATCACAACAGTCCAGAGATGTCCTACTTGGCAAATCCACATTTTTTTTCACTTAATGTTTCACCAATAAAGTCCAGTTATCTTTACTGCAAATGTAGATTATCATGCACAAACACTGTCTGCAATTTTTCTACCACAAAACAGTGAAAGTCCAGTAACACAGTATGTCTCATGTCAAGTATCATCAAACGCCCTCATAGGCTTCAAACTTGCAGAACTGTTAGCTTAGATGCACCTTCTCAAACAAACGTACCAAGAGCAGGAGAGTGCAAATACACGTTTTTTTCAAAAGTTGTTACAATCAAAACAGTTCTTCATTTCAGGAGTAAACGCCCGTCTCTGCTTCTCTTTGGAACTCCCTCTGTGTGTTTGTTTGCAGATATTAAAATTTATTTTAGTGCATTCCCTGAAGAGGTTTTTGAAATGAGGTGTTTGTTTGAAAAAACAGTCAGTCCTTTTCCCAGAGGAGTTTTTTTTTTCCATGCTAAAATATAAAACATGTGTCCTGTCCCAAAGCATCACTTGGGGTTGTCCGAGTTCAGCCATGAACCGTCCTCCTCCACCTCCCGCAGGACGACCAGGAGCATCTCTGCGACATCCTGAGAAAGCTGTTCACTGAGAAATGAGCTGGAACAAGGACGACAGGAGGGAAACAGTTAACAGAACGTGGACACAGGCTATTAGATTACAAGAGAGCAGCATCCTAACACAAACAGTGAGGTAAGCCTCATGTGACCACTCATATGGGATGACTCACTCACTGAGACAGAGAGTCAGAGTTCAAGCAGCACACGCGCCAAGTTTTGATCAAATTCAGAGCAGAAGCACGCACACACACAAAAAAAATGTATTAATACACATTCTTACCATAGCTCTGCTTCTCCACCAATACAGATGGGACTCTTCAGTTTGGAGTCGAGGTTGTAGTATTGCCCATTGACTTGCCGAACTGCGAGCCAGTGCCGTCGTCGGAGCGGGAGGGAAACGATCCCAAGCGATACTCGCGATGGAACGTTAAGAATAAATCCCTGGACCTTTGACACGCAAAGGCTCTGTACCGTCCTTAATAAGTAACAGAGAAAGAGTGCGTTAAACAAAACTTTCACTTTTAGATCGTTTTAGTTATCTATCAATTATATTCTTTGCATTCCGACAGATATTTACTGATGAACTGTTTATCACCTCAACCTGGAACACAGAAGTTGTTTTCTGAGTTGGACTGTCCCATTTTAAAGCAGTAGCATTAGCAGTTCCTGAAAATGAAGGTTTGTAATCACACTGTGTTACCCTCACCTGCGTTTGTCCCACCACACTGCGGCCAGTTCCCTGCTCTGTAGTGCTGCCATGATGACGTTGACATCATAGTTCCCTGTGCCTAACACTGACCGATGAGGGTTCACCACACACTGTGGAGCCAGCCTGCGAAGAGAGAGCAACAGACCAATAAAGCTCTTTAAACTGAAAACCCACCAAGTATTTTAGTGGTCATTGGTGGGAAGGTCTCGTCCTGCAAGGGCTGCTGGGAATCATGACCGCCTTCTGTCCGCTCTCTCCTGTGAGAGTATCTTTGTGTTCTGTCAGTTGTCATCCATTGTAATTTCATAAAGCTATTTTTCAGGACATCTTTCATTAAATAAGACTTTGTTTTGAACAATAGTTTCTTTGAGTTCATGGAGTCACATGGTTTCCCACAAGACAATCTTTATTTTTCATGAAGGCACATTGAATTGCCTTTCTGTTAAAATGTGCTTTACACATAAACTTGCCTTGTCTTTAGCCGAGGTCATGAGCCCCAGAACATGATGTTACATTTCATACATATTTGTCTTTTTTCCTCCACTGCTTATCAAACAGTAGGTGATATATTCAAATCTATTTTCATAAACTCAAAGATTTCTGGTCTTCCTTGAATGATAAAATGCAGAAACCTGTGGGATCGCAAACAGTAACTGTGAAGATTCAATCAGTTGCTGCATAAAAGGTTAAACAATAATGTTTTGATGGGGAACAATATGTAACCAAATTATTATTGTCTTTATTCAAAAACTTTGTGTAGAACTTTGCCACACATCACAAGCATCTATTTCATAATTTCAAGAGAGCAGGCCTACTTATAGAGTAAAATGCACATTAGTACAGTACACATTGTCTGAAATCAAATAAAAGCGATTTCTACATTAAATCTAGATGTAAAATGTTTATTTCATGGACAAAATCCCCCAAAAGTTCAACATGGTAGTGTTGTAAATGGCATAACTACAATTCATATTTTAAAAACAAATCCTATTTGTTGACAATGTATACAAATCTTGAGAAAACTAAAGCAGTTTAATCCACCAGTCCTGAAACAAATCCTCCCGTAGTGGAGGTTATAATATCCAGTCTTTACTGAAACTACATAAAAGATGTGTCATATCTACGATCATTCTGGAGGTGACGGTTTGTGTGTTGTTGGACTACATTGTGTTGTACAGAGAGGTGTGTTTGATATTTAGACAATTCCCACTGATTTGAATAGAGAGGACAAAACAATTAAAACAGCTGCATTTAATTCAAATAGTGGAGATAACAACTTTGTGCAGAAACTAAGCCACGTCCATTAAATAGCAAACAAATTGGACATCTACGAATGTTAATATGCAGAACTGTGAGGAGATGCACAACAACATATGGAGCTGGGGGCCAGTAATGTGTCAGGGGGCAGCTGTCTCAGCAGACTACGGTTATTTAATACTATCTGATTCTTGCTTTACACGTGTGGAGTGTTGGCTCCACACACCGACACGTCGTGCAGTTGGTTCCCTACCGTTTGCAGATGTCATCGGCTGTCTCCTTGGTGAACACCCGCTCCTGGAGCACGTTGTTGAGTGCATGGATGGCGCACAGCTCCAGTCGTTGCTTCTCATGGAACACGTCTCCCTCGCTCATGCTAATGCTAAACACACACAGAAACACACGGAAAGCAACGTTAGCGAAGTGCACACCGGGTTATAGATGGTTTGCTAACGCAGCAGCTAACCCCTCAGCTAACCCACAAGTCTTTAGCTAGCTGCTAAAGGAGGCTAAAGTGTGGCTGCCTCCTGGTTATACTTCACATCGGGCTGCTGACAGTTTGCAGAAAGCGACTGTTGTTATTCCACAGCAGCTACATGAAGCCACTGACCTGCTGATAAGGCGGTTCCTCGCTAGAAAGATGCTGGAGTCTGATAGCTACATCCAGAACACCGGAAACAGAGCTGCTGTTGTTGTTGTTGTTATTGTTTTGTTGTTGTGCGGCAGCCACGCCCATTTATGGCACACACACACACACAGCGGGACCAGAGTCACACCTTTAACTTTTAGTATCAATGATATATAGAAATAAAAAGTAGAAGTAAATCTAGAAGTGAAGTTGCTTCTTTGTTTGGGATCGGGGAACTTAACGCTCTCAACCCAGCAGGCTCTGGACCTGCTAATAACTACAGGCGTTATGTTAGTGCGCCCTCTAGTGTTCAGTCAGATTGTTGGTGTTGACTATCTATCTATCTATCTATTTATCTATCTATCTATCTATCTATCTATCTATCTATCTATCTATCTATCTATCTATCTACTCCCCTGAGACTTTACTATCTGGCACTAACTTCCCTCGACTTACTATACTTTGCACAATCCATTCTTATTTACAACGTTTTGCACGATCCCTTCCCTTGTGTTTATAATTTTTATATTTATGCTTACACAAACACACCACAGCAAATTCTTTGTATGTGTAAACCTACTTGGCAATAAACCTGATTCTGATACTGATTCGAATGTTAATTTAATTCAAAGAAATTAAATTTCAGAAAAAAGTAATTAGTCTATATATGTTGTATGATTTGTTCTATATGCATGTACATTTTAGAATATTTCTGGGTTTACATTGGTGCATATGAAGGTTTTGTATATGGTTGTATCCTTCACTGAAGTACCTTAAATTATAAATAATCCTTAACAAACAATTGTTACACCCTTACATATAATAATTTAAAATGCAACTACCAAATGAATGCAGAAATCATAATATTGCAGTAGCTTTTTACTGCTACAGCTCTGTCTCAACCAGCAGCCCCAACAATAAAATGCTGCTAACAAATGAATGCATAGCAATAATTCAATACTATGACATAATAACACACACTCTGCATCACTGCTTCACTGCATTGTGCACTTTAGTTTCAACATCTAAGTTACATATTCTGATAGTATTCAAGGTAAAGAAGACAAAACTTTATTGATCCACACCAGGGATATTCAGTTGTCACAGCAGCAGGCGGGTCAGCACGAGGTAGAGAATATATCATTATAGACATCTTTCACTGTAGTGGGTTGTACACAAATGTTATTAAGTAAAGTGGCACAGGATGATTGCACGAGCAAGTAGAAAAAACATTTGTTTCATAAATGTAAAGGACATATTGTGATGTGCAGATGACACAAACGTGTAAACGGTGACTTTCTGTTAGAAATAGTACAAATAGTAAAAGTATTGACTTATTCACATACTTTTACTGAAGCAACATTTACTGACTGTACTTCCATTGTTTCAGTGCTGCTGGGGGCGGGGTCCGGAGCTGAGTTTTTCAAACAGACCAATGGCTGACCGGTGTCCCTCTCGTTTTCGACACCGTGTGGCTGGCGGAGCTTTTGGCTGTGACGCGGGGACAACACTGCACCGTGATTGGCTGAAGCTCTGCACCGTCCACCATCAGTAAGAAGCCCATTGGTCCGCGCTGGTAGGTTAAACCGAGGATCGTATTTTTGTTCCTGTGTCAACGGGAAAAAAGGAAAAGAGCAGCAGCCAGTGAGACGAAGTTGTCATCAAAGATATTATTTTACTTTCAAGCATTAACGGAAAAGACCCCCCTGACCCCCCACCAGCCAGGAGACCCCCGACTCTACAGAAGTCCTTTTAAACATGGTAAGACACATAGCCGAGCTCAATGCTAACTGCTAACCAGAGTAGCCGCTAGCTTGATCCGATGTTTAGCCGTCGCCATCCGTCGAGCTCATAATTGGGGGGTTCTGTCTATTCACTGGAGTCTCTGAACCATCATTGCGAATCGTTATCTGCGTTTGACGAATTTAACTAATCAGTTGAATTTGATAAAGACGGTGTCATCTATTTAGAACCCACAGAGTAGCTTTAACTCTACATGATCGGGACTAGGCTAGCATTGCTAATGCTAAGGTAAAGTTCCCTCTGGACGGATGTTAGATCTAAACCATTGCTCCAGTAAAACAGCTGGTTGATGAGCACGTAGAGATGTCAGATAATCGCATTCATCATGTTATGTTCAAATCTATGTGAGGATACACATGTGGTGTTACAGCTGTTAACCTGAAAGCCAAAACTTTGCAGCCCACATAAAACCGACCAGTCTATCCTTGTGTTACACGGATGTTGAGTGATTATTCTTTCATGTTCCATTATTGAAAATATAAAAATATTGTAAATTCATCGTGGATATTATTTTAAGTGATCACAGTGTTATTTGTCCTCAATATAATTAATCATATAATAATCAAAGCTAATACCTGTTTCCTCAAGTCTGATTGCATTATTTTTTAAGTCATATTGCAGGTGCCGAACAAGTTGCATGTCTGAAGGAAACAAAACCAACATTTTAGCTGCATATTACATCCATTTCTATTTCCTGTCTTAATCTCCTTCAGTTAGAAAATGAAACGTTTATTATTAAATACCCCTGGTTTATAGTTTGTTGAAGCCCTGTGTTTGTATATGTGCTTCACCTGATATGTGTTTATGTTTCTCTCCAGAACTCCAATGTGGAGAATTTGCCACCTCATGTTCTTCGCTTGGTCTACAAAGAGGTTTCAGCTTTAGCTGCAGACCCACCTGAGGGTATTAAGATCTATCCAAGCGAGGAAGACATTACTGAGCTGCACACAGCCATAGAAGGACCAGGTGAGGATTACACAGTGACAGGCCCTCTGTGTTGGGAAGTGCTCACTGATTTTACATATTGAAAAACATTGTGGAGGACGATGGGAATGGGCTACTTCTGGTCTTTCGGTTACTGGTGCTGTTTTCTTGTCCTCGTCAGCCAGTTCACATTCCTGTTCCTCTGCTTTAAGATGGAAGGCCTCCACACTGTAGCATCCCATTGCATAAGTCAGTGAAAATGATCATGCGAAATTAAAGACTAATTGCGTGCAGCAGTGAATGGCTCGTACAAATACAGGTTTTGGAATTCAGATATTGTTGGCCGTTCAGAGTTTTCCATAAATGCCAGGGAATACTTTAATGTACCAATTGCCAGACATCGTTCTATCCGACTCCTTCTTTTACCTTCTTAAGTCATGTCACTTTTTATAACCATACATATTTATATATAGCCTACTTATAAACAGATGAAGGACCTTTGTCATTTGACGCCCGGACCTTCAAGTATCAGATAAACAAGTAGAATAAACTGCCCCTACTGACACCCTGTGTCTGCCTGAAAGCATCAGAGAAACACAGATTTTTTATGTGAAACTGTTCTACACACACCTGAGTGTTCATAATGAAATAACATCAGTTTTTTGTGATCCGATCACAAGCAGAAAGCGCTAAATACAGGTGATCTGATAACACCAGACCACATCCGGAGGTGGTCTGGGCCATATGTGTCCATATTCTTTTAGCAGTTGGCCACATATGAAAGACAGCGTACTCAGCTGACGTCTTCTAAGCCACTGCAGTTTCACTACGACTAGAACATATTTCTTCTCTTCTCATTGATTTGTCTATGACCACTCCCACAATAACAACACTGATCACCACATAATGATTGATACTTTCCTGAAATTGGTCAAATCTTTCTTTACAGTTTTTATAGAAGTTTTCTGGAAGCCGGTGAAAGGAGAACTCAGGCAGCAGCTGATGTCTTATGCAGAAGAGTTTAATGTAGACTTGATGTACTTGACTAATTGTCAACCCTGAGTCTGAAGATGTCTCACACAGCATCCCAGTATCTCCCTCTACTTGCGTCACCCATTCCAACATCACATCCATGAAAGGCTAGAACTGCTGTCACTCCCTATGTTACATGGAGGTGTTGGCATCCTATTGGATCGTTAAGCCTAAAGCTATTATCCCTCAATCACGTTGTGTCCTTACATCTTGTCGCTGGTGTAATACGCAAAAGAGTTGGAGTTTGGTGTCTCTCTGTCTGGTGCATCTGAATTAGATATAAAAGTTCATGAGCCTAGACACTACAATATACTGCTAGTTGGCCCTTTATCTACAACCTGACCTTGGGTATTGCTGGTTTGTGTGGAATAGACGTGCACTATTCTCCTAATGGTGTACAGATGTAATGTGTCAGGATGGTCAAGCATTCCTCAACAACGGCTGCACGAGGTTCATTCACATTCTCCGGACTTGTCTACACACACACGCACGCACACACACACACACACACACACACACACACACACACACACACACACACACACACACACACACCGTCATGACGCATTTTAATTCCAGGTGTGAACACGCGTGCTTTACGCTGGCCACTTGTGATCGGATCTCTCAGGGCAGATGTTAATACCAGGTGTGTACTGGGCCTATGAGCTCATTGTTTCAGACCTTGTTATTGTTAAGATGGTGCTGAAGAGCCTGACACTTGTCCACATTTTATTAACTCCTCATATTGCTTTCCTCTGTCCCAGGACAATACACTTATAAGCTATTGCAGGTAATGTATTCATTATTTTGAAGTGGCAGTGGAGTACATTTCATAAGGTCACATTTTTATTGGGTGTACGTTTTCATCAGAACTGTATGGGATTATAATAAAGTCGAGGAGTTTGAACTAAATGATCCGCAGCTGACTTGGATTTAACGTTTTCCTTTTTGTGTTAGTCGACTCAATTGCAGCTCTCTGACCCTCTTTCTTTGCATGGAGCAAGTTTGGCACAGTCTGGACATATTGTTCATTTGATGAATTCTTTATGCTTTGACAGAGGGAACTCCATTTGCTGGTGGCATTTTCCGAATGCGGCTGGTCCTTGGGAAGGACTTCCCTGCGGTTCCACCCAAGGGGTATTTCCTGACCAAGATTTTTCACCCCAATGTCGGTCACAAGGGAGAGATCTGTGTCAACGTGTTGAAAAGGGACTGGAAGGCAGAACTTGGCCTCAGACATGTCTTACTTGTAAGATGAATGACCACTCTTCATTGTTCTGAGTGTCAACTTTGTTTCCTCCAATTTTAAATTTCTTATCTTCTCTTTTTGTTTCCCAACAGACGATCAAGTGTCTTCTCATTCATCCAAACCCCGAATCGGCTCTGAACGAAGAGGCCGGGCGTTTGCTGTTAGAGGACTATGCAGAATACGAGTCCCGCGCTCATCTGCTTACAGAAATCCACGCCATGGGTGGGCCTGGTGGGACATCTGGGGCTCCGCAGGACCCCAATGATGGCCCACAGCCAAAGAAGCACGCAGGTGACCCCACAAAGAGAGCGGGACCCAGTGCAGCAGCTGTACCAGCAACTCTGGGTAATGGAGCTAACGGAGCCAGTACCACCACCAGCAATAACAACAGTAGTAGTAGTAGCAGTAATAATGTAGCAGGGAAAAAGAAAGCAGATAAAAAGCGTGCATTGAGGCGACTTTAATACCTCAGCGAGATTCTCAGTGTGTGTATGTGTGTGTGCGTGTGTGTGTGTGTGTGCGAGAGTGTGTAAATATAAATATTGAAGTGTGCTAATGATGTTTTGATTCTCCTTTTTTCTGACTCTTTCTACCACCAGTCCAAACTATCCCCTTTGTACTCATACCTTACACTTGGTTTTGCCACAACTTTGTCCTGTTGGCATTACACTGTAGGTTGGTAAATCATTTCCATACCTGAAGACATTATGAAAAATACTTGTTCTTATAGACTTTTCAGGATATCGTGCCATCATTTGTATCTTCTCCTTGGCCGTTTTACGAATGAATGACACAGGAAATCATTCTCACTTTGTAAAACATGGCCTAATATCTGGCCATTGATGAAACAAAGCTAATGTTGCCTCAGGCTTGATAGAAGCTCTTTTTTAAAGTGTTTCCTGATAAATACTGCTGTGATGGTACTGTGTACTGCTCAGCCAGGCCCACTGTTGAGTCTAAACCACGATGCTACTTAAGGTTTTCAAACTGAGCTCAAAAGGAAATGATGGTAGATGTTTTAACAATAATGTAAGAAGTCAGAATTGGGAGAGAAATAATTGTTAATGTCACACAAAATGGTCTCGTGTTTTTAAAATGAAATTTTCATAACTGAACTGAATGAAGTAAAGGTATGGAGTCTCACCGCCCTTTAAATTTTTTTATTTCTCTGTTTCACTGTCCAATATTTTCAAAAGCTGTTTATAATTGACTTTATCCATATTCAGCTGTCTTGTGGTTGTGTGTGAAGACATAGATCAGTGGCTGTACGGGAACAGGGTAGGTTGACAGTCAGCTCTTATAAAAAAAAAAAAAGAATAATCTATTCTCTGTATTAACATACAGTAATGTGACTTAAACCACCCCTGCTTCTCCTACAAAGCATTATGTGCTCTTACATACCCAGCTCTGCTACCAGCCATGTGGGTACCAGAGGAGACATCAGTAGCAA